GAAGTTAATTTTATAAGATAATAAAAACTCTTTGCTAAATTGTCTCGTAACAAACAAACTGCTTTGTGTCAAAACCTACTTTGTGTCAACTTTGGTTAAGTAATATTGAATTGCTTAACATTATTACTTTGTGTCAACCTTGGTTAAGTAATTGTAAATTACTTAACGTTATAAATCTTGCTTTGTGTCATCTAGGTTTAAGTAATCTTTAAATTACTTAAACACTATCAACTTGGTTACAAATAAACTTTGTAACGTCAACTGAGGATTTCCTACGTCAAAGGAAATCATTTGTCTTATGTGGAGGATTGGAAGTCGTTATACTTGCCAATTCTGAAACTTAATTGTGAAAGAATACTGAAGTCAACAGAAACCCGAATTTACCGAAGTTTCTTCCAAAACTTACTAAAGATTGAGCTAAACCTTGCTGCTATTCAATTGATTATGTGTTTCAGTCCGCCTAATCATTAGTTAGGTAACAGTATCAAATGTTTGTTCGTAAATATCTTCGTCTGACCACATTGCATTTTGCTTTCCTTTGTTATTATATGGAGAGATATTGTTATTATTTTGTTTCGATGAGTTAGATGAATTTTGATTAGCATGCATCGAGTCGTTGCTTGTATTATTTTGGATATCGGTGAAGGTGGTTGGATCAATTTCCATGGTAGATGTATTTGTATCTTTTACTTGTTGTGGAAAAGGAGAGGTTTGATATTCAGAAGTAGGGTTTTATTTGGAATTCAAATTGAATTTCAAATATTTGAAAATTTTTTAAAAAATATTCAAACGAATATTGAAATTATTTCAAATATTGAAATTAATTTTAAATATCAAAAATCATTCATTTCAAATATCGAAATTAATTTCAAATATCAAAAATCATTTCAAATATTGAAATTAATTTCAAATATTCTATTTTCAAACGGAAACCCTATTCAGAAGAACTTATGTCAACTTTAGAGGAAGGTGTAACTATAATAGAATTTATGATATTTTCGATCATCAAAGGAGGAACTTCGTTAGAGATTTTTGTTCTTTTATTTGTAACTGAGGCATCTATGGTATTTGATTTATTTTTTTGTAGTAGAAGGGCTATTTGTTCTATGTTTTTATTATCATTTGTTATTAAGTTTGTTGGATAAGGTTGGGTCATTTGTAGATTTTTTGGGATATTTGGATTTTGTTTAGTAAAAGGTATGATGGGAGAGAGAGAGTTTTTTTTTCTAATAGATCACTATATACTGAGATATTCAAGTAAACATATTAAAAATATTCAATTAAAACTACGTAACCAGTATATTTTCGAATTACGGATTGTACCAAATTGCGTTATACAAGATTCTAAATATAGATATATGGTTATACAAATTCCTAAAAAGGAAAATTTTGGCTATCGAAAAATTGAAAAATAACCAAAAATGAGTTACACAAAATTTCCATAATAGTAATTCGTATAAAATCAATTCACATGAGTCAACTCGAGTTGAAATGAGTTGAGTCAATTTATTGATTCGACTCGACTAATTAATGACTCGACTCGATTCGACTCAAACTCAAGTCAACTCATTTGACTTATGAGTCAACTCGACTCATTAGGAGCTCTATTCTTAACTTCTTAAGAAATTACGAGTCACCTAAAGTGAATTGGAAGTCACCATATTTGCCAATTCTGAAACTTAACTGTGAAAGAATACCGAAGTCAACAATAGCCCGAATCAACAAAAGTCTCTTCCAAAACTTAATAAAGATTGAGCTAAATCTTACTGCTACTCAATTGATTGCATGTTTCAGTCCGCCTAATCATAAGTTGCACTGGTCGAAATAATCCAAATCGGCTATAAATCAGATAGCCGAATTTAGGCCGATTTTGATACTATTTTTGGCAGGTTTGTTATTTTCTGATTGGCACAATCTACATTGATTGACCCAATCAAATTGACGCCAATCATCCTAATTCATAAAATTTATTAAAAAGCATTCGTATTTCACGAAAATTATGAATTACTCTACAAATATTAAACCAATATTGATGAAATTTGAGATTCAACTAAATTCAGACCCACTGAACATCTTTACTTTGGCAATGAAAGGCGATTTACATGGACTAAAGTGCTGAAATTAAACAAATCGTTAAAATATAAATTCGTGTATTAATAGCGTTAAAAAAATCATGATTTACTCTATGAATATTAAACCAACCTTGATGAAAATTAAGATTCAACTATTTTTTAATTCGCTGAACAACTTTACATAGGCGAATAAAGGTGATTTACTTAAACAAAAGTGCCTAAATAAAAATTTTTAAGTCAAAATGGCAATATGTAAATTCGTGTGTTAATAGCGTTGAGAAAAACGTAAGTTTCTCTATTAATATTAAACCAACCTTGATGAAAATTGAGATATAACTATTTTCGGACTCGCTGAATAACTTTACATAGGCGACTTAAGGTGATTTACTTGAACTATTATGCCGAAATAATATTTTGAAGTCAATTTGGCAAAAAAATAAAAAAATAAACTTGTATAAAAGAGAAAATTTTTTCCTATATTCGGAAATAATAGACAAATATGCAAATATGTAATAAATAAGTACACAAATGATGACTATTTGGGGTGAAGTTCTGAATTTTGAATTAATTATGCCAATCATCTAGAATGTACAAATTGGCTAGAAATCGGATGGCCAAATTTTAAAATATATTTTAATTAGGTGCTGAATTTTGACATATATCAAATCAGCTATAAATCAGATGGTTGATTTTTGGCTGATTTTTGATAATATCCAATTTTAGGCTGATTTTGAGCTGATTTACCATATGCCGATTTTTTTGATTTCAACCAGTGTATTATATTAATTTTTTTTAAAATAAGCAAAAGATTTATTTATTCTGAATATTTTCTATATATTTTATTAAAAAATAAAAACTAATACTTTGTTGAACCACCTTCAGCTGCTATATATGCTTGAATGCAACAGGACATAATTTCAACTAAATTTTGAATATACTCAAGTGAAATTGAACACTAAGCATATTTTACCTTACCTTTTAAATCTTTCACATTTTTAGGTTGATTAGGCAAGTTACGAAATTTCTTATCAACTTCATTTCAAAGATTTTCAATAGATTTAAATCAGGACTTTGTGCAGGCTAGGGTAGTACAAAAATCTTAGAGGCATTACAAACATTAGTGATAATCTTTGCTCAATAAGGCAGAGCATTATCCTTTTAAAAAATTCCTTATTTGCGAAAAACTAATTTGTAAATTGAAGGAATAGCATGCTTCTGTAACACTTTTGCATATCTATATTCTATTACAGATTCATGAAAAGGAACAAGAGGTCCCAGCCTATATCACGAAAAGCATTTCCAAAACATTCAATTAGGATTGTGCTTTATTATAGCAGTTAAATAAGAAAGATCAAATTCTTCTTCTGGTGTACGCTATACACATAAGCTACGACTTTGTGAAAATTGGTTAAATGTTGATTCATCAGACCATACAACTTTCTTCTATTTTGCAATTATTCAATCTTCTTGTTCTAATGCCTAAGCCAATCTTTTTTCTTTATTATTTTCAGAAATTAATAGTTTAGAGCGGACAACACACAAATGTAAGCTGACTTTTTTAAGAATCTGACAAATTATAATAGTTGAAACTTTTTTTTGATCTATAATTCTTGAATTTTTTGAGTGGGAAGGTGACGATACTTCGAATTTTATATAACAATCATTTTGAGTGAAGAATATGCATTTAAATTAAAAAGTGGCTTCAGGTCACAATGTTTTTTGGTATTGCAAAACCAGTTTCTTTAAAATGTTTTATCACATCATGGATAATTGTTTTATCACATTGAAAGATGTCAGCAATTTTTTGATATGAATCACCTTGTTTGTAGCTGTAAAGAATTTCCTCATATTGTTCAGCATTCAATTCTTTTATTTTAACCATTTTGTTCGAAAGAAAATTATTTGTTAATATTGTGATTGACATCCATTTATATCCTAAACAAATGCTTAAATTAGAAATATATGTAAACATGTAAACAAAGCGAATAAACAAAAAATACTTATTGTTTAGGTACCTGTGATCACCTTCTGTATTACACAATTTATATCAGATACTAAATATCCTACTCTTAATATGATACAGCTGTATATGTATATGCTTAAGCAAATGTTTGTTTCAAATCCTCAAGAAAATGAAACTATAAATAGATTTTAGATTTTGTTTATGAATCTTTATTATTTGAAAATACTGAAAAAGAAGAAAAAAAAAATTTAAGTTTTATTATTGATAATAATAATGACATTCTTACTGCTAGAAATCAATAACATTAGCAATATGCCTAACAATAAGTTAGAGAACAAATGAGATATTAGGGATGAGAATGAGTTCATGGTTGTAGAAATACTCATAGATCTAGATATAATAGTAATTGTGTTTTAGGATTAGTAATCAACAATTTACACAAGTAGAAGATGATGAGATTATATATTACTTATAATGTCCTAGTGAATCAAAAACTACAAATCCTTTAGTATGGTAAAAGGATTATAAAGCAAGTTATCAAAATTACCATTGTAGAGTCAACAATTTTATAAATTAAGACGTAACAATACAGATGAAAATGTTCAATAAAATACAACAAAAATTACAAGAAAAAGTTATGTGATAAAAAAAGGAATATTTATTTTATTAAAAGAAAGTATAATACTCAGATAAATTACAAACTGAAAAGGAAGATTACATAAGATGGATAAATTACAGAAGGAAATAATTTGGATAAATTAGTTACCGAAAGAAAAAGGATAATTAAATAACTGAAAGGAAAAGGATAATTAATCAACTGAATGGAGGGTCTTATAGAAAGACAGGAAAATATTTGAAAAATAACAAATTGAAGAAATTACACAATTATGCAAAAAGGTTACACAAAATCACAATCATTAGGAATGACAAACTGAACCACATAGAAGATTGTGTAATATAAAGGTTACATATGACATCATAAACGAAATAGAAATCAGAAGAAGAACGAAAGTTAATAGTATGAAGAATTAAAAGAAAAACAAATAAGAATTAATATAATAATAGTAAAATCAATAATGGAAGTACGAAATAATATAACGAATTGAAAGTAAATAATGAACAATAGAAATACGGAATTAGGGATAATTCGAAATTAAGAAAAAGTAGAAATTCATAATAGGAAGTAAAATAATAGGTTGAAATAAATATTTAATAATATGTAGTTTTTAGTTAAAATTCTCATCACATATACATCATATGTTTACTATGTAAATTTATTATATATACAGTGAACTCTTGATATAACGAATTCTAGGATCTGGATATCAACTTCATTATAAGCTTATAACGAATTTTTTAAAGAATTTAATTGGCTAATTCACTATAGTAAAGGTAATTTTAATATATTTGATTTAAAAATTCGCTATATCAAGGGTTCGCTATATCAAGGTTTGACTGTACCTTTTAAATATCTTTAAGTACTGTATGTTCAATTTTCCAAGAAATAAAAAAAAAATAATAGTTTTAATAAATAAACTTTTAACATAAATAAAAATAAATACTTTTGTTTGAAATAATTAATTGTTGAACAATTAAATTATGGCAATAAATAAAGTTATCTCACTTGTATATAAACTTTAATTTTATAAAAATATAAATAAAATAATACAGAATAAAAATAATATGACAAAGATTTAAAGAATATTAAACAAAGAAAGAAAGTTATGGAAGAAATAAATAGAAATATTAAATGAAATATTAAGAAATAATAAACGAAAGTAACTTTGAAAGAAATATTTGAAAGAAATAAACACTATAATATTTAGAAGTAATATTTGGAAGAAATAATATTCAGAAGAAATATATGGAAGTAATACTCAGATATAATATTCTGAAGAAACTTTTAGAAGAGATATAATTTGAATAAGAATAATTAAAGAATAATTGATAAAACAATAACATTGTAAAGAAAATATAAGATAAATTAACACTCAAAGTATAAAAATAGATTCTCAGCAATTAAATATTAATTTGTAGAATAAATCCTCTTAATGATGAGTAGCAAAAATGATCAAGAAGGTACAAGCTATGTTGAAGCTTATTAAACTCAAAAATGCTATACATTTATAAAATAAAGGTTATGGCCAGTGTATGAAATTTTGGCCAAATGCTTGTTGTGTAATGCGCAAAAAATATCACGTGCAATTTGTGGAAATTAAAAAGCATGTTGCACATTATGCAAATATTTTTAAACATGAATTTGTGCAAAATTTTTTTATAAAAATATATATTATTAACAAAATAACCAAAAATTGATATTTATTTAATAAAAGATAATAAAAATTATAAAATACAAAATTTATTGAAAATTTACATTGAAATTGAATGGGATGATTGTGCCTAATGATCATATACCGCCTCAAAGTCAAATGACTCCAATGATGGACCATTAATTAAAATATTTAGATGATAATGAAGGGTTTCCAATTTCATCTTATTTCGTAATTTGTTTTTGGTTAAATTTTGGCGTGAAAAAACTCTTTCTACTAAAGCATTAGAAAGTGGAATTATTAAAATAAGATGAACAATTTTTGAAGTATTAGGATACAAAGAAGAAAAATCTGTTGAAAAAATTCTAAACCATTGCTCAACAAATTTAAATTCCCTAAAATTAGCTATGAATTATCGTACAACTATCCATTCCTTTTCCAATTCTTTTTTATCAATCATCGGCTCATAAATATTACCATCTTTATCAGTTTTTTGATTCCCATAAAATTTGCCAATAATCTCAATCTCTTTTTCACCATACTGATTAATTAAAGTTTGAATTAAAGGTAATTGTTGTGCATCAAAAATCCACAATGAATGATAAAAATCAGAATCAGAAAATCTTCTTTCAATATTTTGAATTATAGACAAAGCAAATTGTGAAAAGGTGTCTGGAATTGAATCTATTGATAATTGATTACTTTCAATATATTCAAGTAAGTATTTGCCATATGTTAGTGATGTATTATCATCTCCAATAAACATTGTTTGAATTGCGAGAATTGTGGAATTTAGATGATAATACACATCAGACAATGTGATAAAATCCTCTTGAAATGCTTTAATTAATCATTGTAAAATATCAAAAAGGTCAACCAAAAATTTAGTTGCTAAAATAAAATTCAGATCTAATTCTTCTAATAATTTTTTCACTAATTCAGCTCCATTATCATTGACAAAAATATCTGTTTGTAAAGATGTAATAATAGAATTTAGAGTTTGATGCAAATTGGAAACAGTTTTTGATAATGATAGCTATCACGTTGAAACTAATTTCAATATAGCTAATCCAGGATCATCATCATCATTAGCTTGAATCATGCGCAAATTTTTCAATCGATTATAAGATCTACTAAAATAAGAATATAATCTCTTTAAAGTAGATTCATATTCATTGAAATATGGTATATCTTTTGCTGAGTCTTTGTCAACAAATGCAAATCGATATACTATACAATGGATTGCAGTCATAAATGGATTTCTATTTTTTAATTGTATAGCTACTCCATGGTTTCTTCCTGAAAAACAAAAATGTAAATATATTAAATAAAAATAAATAATAAATTAATATTATATAAATTACAAAATTTACCTGTTATTACAGATGTTCTATCACTTCCTATATGATATAAAGATTGAATTGATAAACCTTTTGCGTTTAAAAATATTTCAATATCTCTCATTATTGAATCTGCATCACATCCCTCTAAATTTATCATACCAAGATATCGCAAAACTGGCTCATTTCTTACTATATGTTTGCTTATTATTGCCAAATGTTTATCAATAGTAATTGTAGTACTTTCATCTAAAAGAATGCTTCATCCAATACTTTGATTGACTTCTTCTATAACTTGATGTTCAATTACATATGAGATTGATTTAATAAAATTGAGTCCAGCTTTAGGATTTTTGTATGTAGCATAATTACTGGAAAAAGTAGAGGTTATAGGTAATGTTTGTGAATATAAGGAAAGTGATGAAATTTTGGTAGGTAGTATTTGATAATTAATTTCGGTGTTATTTTTTATTTAATGTTCTATGAAATTACTAAGATCAGAATATATGTTGAGAGCTAAATTTTGTTTTGAGCAAAAATAGGCATTTTTCATTGATGCAATGATTTTTGATTTTTCTATTCCTAATTGTGTTACCAAACCCGTAATTATATTTGACTGATTTGTATTATTTCTCAACTTTGAAATTGATATATGTGTTTTAGTTTTTATATGGTTATTAAGATAATCTTTTTTGAATTTGTTACAACCTTTTGTAAAAATATTATTTGCTTTGCCCTCTTTGCATCACATACAATACATAAAAGGTTTTTCTTTCATGTCTTCTCTTCTCATTAAATATGAATAGGTTTGTGACCACTTGGGGTCCCAGTCATTTCGTTCCTTTTTATATTTTTTATTTGGTATTTTTTTGTGTGATTTAGAAGTATCAATAAAAGGTTCGATTATTTCAATGTCATTGTCATATTCTTTACGTTTTCCTTTTAAGCTACTTGCGCTTTGAAAATATCTTTCCATTTTTGACTAAAGACAAAGAAAATATAAGATAGATAGTCATTTGATTGTCTATTTTTTGATTCATTATTCTATTTCACAAGAAGTTAATTACCTAAATGGATAATTGTTTGGAGGTGAAAGACATTTTTGGAAAATTTGCATAATTTGCGTAAAATTTGTGAAAAATTTGTGGAATTTGTGAAATTTGCGGAATTTGCGTAAAATTTGCACAAAAATTTAAAAATTGAGATTGTGTAATGTGCAGATTATAATCACATGTAATTTGCAGAAATCAAAAAGCAAGTTGCACTCTGCAAATTCCGCAAATAGATTTCATACACTGGTTATAGCAAT